AATGTTCTGAAAGTGATAAGTTGATTATGATAATCATCTTCCAAAGATGGATATTGGGTGTCTATGATAGGTTATATCTGACAAGTTCACAAAAAACCTGCTTGTCACATCACTAACCAAGTTAAAGAAGGAAGGAAGGAACGAACGAAGGAAGGAAAAAGAAAAGATGAAAGAATGAATGAATGAACAAATGGCAACATACTGGTTCTATGCCAGAGAAGGCAACTTACGCTAAAGAACATGACCTCTACACTTACACTTCATTGAGTGATCTTTCACCAACTTTACTATGCGGCCCTCTGAATTACTTTCCAGAAACTCAGCTTGGCAGCTGTAGACCTAATTTCTTTTTACAGGATGAGTCCAAGTCATGGAGAACTAACTACTGGGGAATAGATAGGTCATAGAAAAACACCCCACCCTTCCACCATGACACTGTAAAAGCTTGACTCAAAAAGTGGGGTGGGACCAAAACCAAACAACTCCACTTTCCTAAAACAAATCCATTTCATAGCTAGATAATGTATTTGAGCCTGCACATCCTCAGAAGCTGGAAGTCCCAGCTAGAGAGACACAAAAGTCTTTCCTAATTGGAGGAGGATAAAAATCTAGCCATTTAAGGGACTGGATTACAGCTGATATAGATAAAAATATTTGGTCATGCAGCTTCTGAATTTGTTTCAGTTTTGGCTAGCTCACCTCTAAATAATGACATCAAAGATCACTCTAAGTAGACTGGCTGCACTAGTATAGGTTAAGCCAAGGAACTATCTAGGACAGTGATTCTCAACTGGGGCACCATGTCAGCTTGGGATCCTGTTAAGGGTGATGCATAATATTAGCACTGTTAAGTGTGCAAAAACTCTCACGACTCACAAGATAAGCCCGGAGATTTCAAATAGGAATCCATAATGTTAAAAACATGCCAACCTGTTGTGGTCTTGTGAGTTGAACAAAACAGAAGAATTTCTCTATTATTATTTTGTAGGCCAGAAACAAGAAAAAGCTAAGAGCTGGCATTTTCCAGGGCATGGCTTGAGTTTAAATGAGAGGTGTCTTGAGTCTAAAAAGATTGAGAACCATTGATCTATGGCAATATCATATTAAAGCTGTAAAAAATTGAAGGGTTCTTTACATGAGGAACTGAGATATGGTAAAAGTGGATCTCTGTGAGTCTGTTTAGGGCCAAAGTGGCCCTGTCCAGTCCATGCGTAGCAGTTTCCATCTGATGTCAGCACTAGTGGGTATACGTTATATAACTCCCGGATGTGGTAGAAGTTCTGATTCAAATTCATTTGAGGGTCTATCCTGGCTTTTACTTCAATGAGGCCTGAACATGCTCAATGTCCTGACCAGTTGGAACCCTTCTGCTCTGGTTCATTGGAGAGCCTTTAGTGTATTCTTTCACTGTCTGGCTGTAGTAGTGATTAATCCCCTGTGATGCTGAGAATAGATAAGTGGCCACTGAATAAAGGTGGCTGGTAAAGACATGTTGCTTATATCATATATATTACATGGGCTAGCTGAATGCCAGCCATTCAAAATCCCTTTTAGAAGCATTTGAAATCTCAAGGGAAGTTAAGAAAACTGTTCAAGGATTAAGTTCAAGCCAAATCTTCAAAGCATTGGGCAGGGAGGGAGGAGATATACCTAGACTCCCTTAACATCAGTGACAGCAACTCCATCCTAGTGATTTGCTTTAAAAGCAAAGGGTTAATATCATTAGCTTTCCTGTCAAAACAATGTTGCACTGCAGCTTTAAAAGGAAATCTGTTGGTACACAAGGTCAAGTACACGTTTCAGACTGCTGGACTGGGAAGGTTTTTGAATTCTGGCAGCCTGGTTATTACATGTGTGTTGCTCACAAAAACTGTGTTGTTTTTTTCAAGTTTAGACTGTGAAGAAAGATGCAACAGAAGCAGATTTTGTGCAATCTCTTCTGCTGTGCAGTCAGAAATGCCTTTTGTATGTAGTTGACACCACCACCACAGTCACTGTCACAGTTTCCCAACTAAAGGGTCACAGAAGCCTTTAACCCACATAATATAAAAGATGCAGTTGAGAAAGCATAGAGGCACAAAAATAATAAGAACCCTAGCCACTCTCGAAAAGTCAGACAGGAAACTTATTGCCTAGGCGGCCCTCAGAGAAAGCCTCGCCCTTCCACTTGACTGTTTATATTTTTTCTTTTCCTATTTATTGTTTCAAACCAGTTTCCATTCTGTTAATGATCAGAGTGTTGTAGCAAAGAGGGCTAATTGTAGATGCAGGTCTTGATTACTTATTATTTTAAATCGGGTGCTATTTACCCCACACTAAAAAAGGGGTGCCTCAATAGCTCATAATGTAAATAACACAGACACCTTCAACTTTATTCCACATCCTTCTCACAAGGTTGTGAGATACAGTGATAATGTACCATACATTTCCAAGCCTTAACCTGTGTCAAAGATCAGAGAGTTTACTCTTTGGAGCTCGAATGGATGGGATGAGGTGTTTCGGCACCAGAATCCACTGTGCGTAGCACTCTGAATGTTCACTGTAGGCATTCATTTTGAGAAAATCTGCACCAAACATCCTCTGCCAGTGCCCTCCTGGGCATTGTATAAAGCAGAAGCAAGAAATGGAGTGAGGCTTTCAGTTTTCATACCTCTGGCGCTTTTAAAGTCTTTTTGTTTTTTTATCTATTAAGTGCAGTACACTTCTGCTTCTATCAACAAATACTACTACTCATACCCTAACAACCAGGGTGGGTAAAAATTATTATTATTTTAAATAATCAAAAAAAAAAAAAATAAAAAAAAAAAAAATCAGATTTTGCATTTAAATCAGATTTTTTTATTTTATCGTATTTTTTTATAATGCTTTTTAAAAAAACTCTATATAAATAAAGTTTTAATTTAAGATATATTAAAGATCAAAGATATCATAATGGAATAGGGTCTATAACTTTTAATTGAATACTATTTAAGACCATATATTCATGTAACCTTTTTAGAAAAGTTTTATAAATAGGTCACAACAGGCCGTGGATTATATTAGGGGCCCAATCTTATGGGGTTCCCAGAGACTTCTTTATAGATTAGTAAAGATTAAGGAAAATCACTCTACCCAATGGGACTCAGTGCTCAGTCTAGAAGATCCCATTAAGTGTCTCTGTGACGCTTAGTCTTAGTTCTCAAACTGTGGATTTGTGTCTCCAGAGATAACATCCTTGTTAACAGCACTATATGGAGATGAGTGATAAAAGACCTGATTACTTACCCATTAGCCCTATTGTCTCTCTGCAAGTTTGGGTACACAGATTCAAGCTCTTATCTCTCTCTAAAAGTGCAAAGTTTTAAGAAGTTAAATGAATACAGGATATCAAACAACAAGAATGCACTTGTTGTAGAAAACAATGATTAAATTGAAGCTTCCTGAACAATGATTTAAATCATAATTTAAATTATCTGATGTAAATCAAATCCACCCTGCTAGCAATACTGTCAAGCAGGGCCTAAACTAACCAAAGGCATGCTTGCCTTCCCTTCCTATCCTACCATTTCATAATTTAAAGATCTAAGAAAATGATATTAACTGTATTTTAGGTATTGGTTTAAATCTGTCCATGGAGTTACCACTCTAGGAAAGGATGAAAACCACCTTCACAGTAAGAGAAAACAGTTTCCTTTTTAAACAGAGTAAGATCACTTATAAAGATAAATGTGAAATATGAATCCAGTAAGTCAAATTCTTTCCTGGTACAACTCAACTGAAGCCAAAAGAACTAAACAGGATTTGTTCTAATGAGCCTAAATTAGATTAACTAACTCAGTATAAAAGATTGACAAAACAATTCACAAGGGAAAGCAAGCTACAGTGATAACATACATTATATTCCAAGGGGCTTGAGGATAAAAGGATTAAATTTTTATGATACCAGGGCAAGTTAATGCTTCCAGTAGGAAACAATGGTTGGTGAGCAACGATGGCACAATGTACAAAAATGCCTATCACATCACACCTGCAAGGAAGATAACACAGCTCAGTTTAGTGTCAGCATTTATTTAAATCCTTATTACTCAAACTACTGTGCACTTGGAACACAGTTAATCTTTAAAATGATACTATTCTGTAGTTCTAAGTCAATTACCTGTTAGTAAAAAAACTGCCTGGAAAAAATGAGCAAAAACCTGGAAACAGGCTTTAAAACTAATGATAACTGTGTCTCAAGTTACCTGGAAAATAAAAATCGGAGACCAACTGTAACTTTTAGAAACTGTTCATTACAGGGAAGCGTGCTAGCTGTAAGTCTTCCACAGTCATGTTATTTCTAGTCAATACTGACACCTGAGCATGGTAAACATGGGTTGCAAATACCACAAAGATTTAAAGTTGTGCCTTATTTAGATGTAGAATGCAGGGTTTATTATCAGAAAGAACTAAGATTATTTAGTTTGGAGAAGTGACGAATGATGGGGAATTGATGAATCTCCAAATACCGTATTTTCACACATATAACATGCCCCAAATACAATAAAAATCTTGTTTTTGTCTGCAAAGAGTGGGGACAAAACCTAATCTTTAAGCTGACTCACCCTCCCTTCCTTGCTCAGCTAAAACTCTAGTACAGGGGTAGGCAATGTATTTTGGCTGGAGTGCCGAAAAAACCACAATGTCTACCTTGGAAGGTGCCAGAATGCCAACATACCCAGAGCAGCTGTTTGCAGCCTCCCAGCAGCAGCCAGCCCATGGAGCATGGTCTGCTTGCAGCAGGGCTTGCAGCCTCCCAGCCACCTGCTGGAAGCAGCCTGAGCTCCGTGGCTGGCAGCAGGTGCTTAGAGCCCAGGCTGGCACTGGTGTGCCAAGCAAAATGGCCTTGTGTGCCACACTTGGCACACGTGCTGGGGGTTGCTGACCCCTGCTCTAGTAGCTGCTCAAGACTGGTCCTCCATAGGTAGAGCTCTGATCTTGAAAAGAGTTCAAGCTGTGAAACAGAAAGAAACCAGAAGCCCTAGCAGACAGCAACATTTCTCTAAGAAAGTTTAGCTGCATTTGTGGAAGGTCAAGACCAGTAAAAAGGAGAGAGAATCTTTTAACACCTGCGAAGTAAAGAATTAATTCAAAGGCCCATTAATAGGCCATTGACTCCCTCAGCTGCCTGAAGAGTTATACAAGAGCTGTTGGACTGTGAAGCAGGAATCAAAGCAGGGGGCTTCTATCATGGGCAAAAAATCAGCTTTCCCACTTAAAACACACAGCCCAATTTTTGGAGGCTGATTTTAGGGGGAAAGGCACGTATTGTATGTGAGAAAATATGGCAACTGACAGACAATTACAGAGAGGATGGAGATGGGCTTTTCCCTGTGGCTATAGGTGACAGGAATAGGACTAACGGCCTTGAGTTACAGCAGGAGAAATTTAGGTTGGAGATTAGGATGAACTTTCTGACTATGAGGGTAGTCAAATATTGGAACCGACTACCTAGAGAAGCTGTGGAATCTCCATCCTTGAAAGTTTTTAAGAGCAGATTAGACAGACACTTGGTTGGGATGATTTAGTAAGGGATGCTGCTGCCTTGACCAGGGGGCTGGACTAGATGTGATCTTGTGATGTCCCTTCAAGGCCTATTTTCCTATGATCCTGATTTTATGATCAGATGATATGACTATCCTGGATGAATACAAAGATGTAGCCTTGATACCTTTTTAAACAACTTAAATGTAGTTACAAGTGTTACACCTGGGGTTACCCACCTTCCTACCAACATCTGCAAATTTTATACATACATATATACGCGCGCGCGCACACACACACATATATTCTACTCCCTGGCACCATGTTAGACGCAGACAAATAGGGGTGAATTATAATTCCATAGGGAAAATGGTGAAACTGACCATCATAAAACATTTCAATTCCCAAAGTAAACATACTGAAAAACAGAGAAAAATATTTTTTCCCTCTAATTTTTCTAGGGATGGTAAATCTTAATCATAGCTGTTATTTGCTCTGCCCAAACATGTGTTCTCCTATGCAGAGGAACTTCTTTCCATTACCCTGCTGTACCAGAATATAGTCATGGAGGGGATGTCCATGGTGCTTTCTCTGGTCTCAACTCTGATCTCACCAGGAGAAGATGCAAAGCCAGGATCAGACCTGCCTCAACTAAGGGAACAGTAAGCTACAGCAATGAAGCAGGAAGAGAGGTTATTTCTGAAGCTATCACTGCAATGAAGAACTGGTGCAGTTCTATAGGTTTGACAGCGTGAAACAAACAGTTGGGAATGAGTGAAGAAAATCTATCCTGTTCTAGCCAGAAATAAGCTCCCCAGTCATTACTCAGACAATACACCACCCATGGAAATGTAATGACGAAGTAAATACCTGATGAGTTGGTCCCTATTTTTTTCTGTGTCATTGTGATTGAGAAAAAGGTAATATTTTGACATGATGGTTGCTTCTTCAAAGTGAAGTACCAATTATCTTCTGCTGTTTCTGAACTATTCTCTAGTGGCAAAGAACATGTCAGGGTATATATTTGGAGGCTGCCAGTTCCCTTGGGTGGTTCTCTTTCTGTGCCTCACAATGTACTCAAAGCCTAAAAAAGTGGATAAGTAGCCTACTCCTCTACAATGTGCTTTGTCTTACTGCTAAATCTTAACATGTTTAATGAGCGTCAGTACACTTGCTTATTCTGAAAAATTATTTTTCAGAGGGTGCATTAGTTGATGCCATAAGCAGAAAAACTTATTTGTACCTCCTTGCAAAAATGAGCTCTTTCATGGTCCTTTTGCCAGTGAAATCATTCCTGTCATACTTAACAAATGCGTAGGGGCTCAAATTTCCAAAACTGCCTTCCAATTTGGGATGCCTATGTTTTGCATAGATGCAGCTTGCTTTTCAGAGCACCATGCCAATGAAGTGAGTGCGACTCAGCCACTCTAAAATCAGATGCCTGGGCAGTCAATATAAGGGGCACCCCAAATTAAAGGCTATTTTTAAAAGCTGACCACTTATCTTTGGTATGAAGGCACAAATCTATCTTAGAATACAGAATTGCATGGAAGTAAGAGCAGATTTTGAGACAGTCTATTTCCTTGACCATCTTGGAAAACCCTGCTGCAAGTTCGGAGCTCAGCATATGAGTATTTTCTCTGGAATGTCTGCAGAACCAGCCAGCGGTTCTGAAGGAACAGTTCCCAAGGGGAGAAATCTGTCTGTATCGTAGTTAAATTCTGTAGAAATGAAACTTCAAGGACAAACAACAATGAACAGCTAGAGTACATGGCTTGCTGCTAAGCTGGTTCTTGATAAAAATTGAGGAGCTTTGTTTCATGATATGACTAAAACAAAACAGCAGTGGGAAAATGGCCTCAGGAAGTTGAAACACAATATAAATCATAGTCACATTTTCCATACCTTTCTAGACACAGGAACTCCAAAAATATCAAACCAACATGACTACAAGCTGAATGCTCTGCTGGTAAAAAACCTGCACATTTATTTCTCAAAATGTATCTGTAAAACATGTCTTCAAGCTTTTTATCATTAAATCAGAAGATCGCTATATTGTGTTAATGAGATTTCTTGGACTAATGCACCAAAGTTAAACTAATTCTTATCAAAAGCTGCAACTAAACACACAGGATTCTGTAACAGGAATGAAAGCAGTAATCATGCAGAGTTAGATTAATCTATTTTTGTTCAGTGGATTAGCTAGTTAAAATCAAAAGCATCTACTGTGTTAAATTTCAGTTACAAACCACTGAAAAAATAAAGGGAAAAAACCCTGGACATTCACAATTAACTGATGTGCGACAGCATGTTAACCACAGCAAAAATCATGCAGGGTCAAATCTCAAGGCTCTGTTATAATGCAGGCTGATCCCTTACTCCTACACTTTGCAGTAGCTTGACTGACCGTGAAGATGTTCAAGCTTGTACAGAAAGAAACATAGGAACACAGGACTGGGACCATCAACTCCAGTCTCCTGCATTCACAGGCAAGCGGTAAGCAAAGGAATCCTCTACATTGTTACCTCGAACCCTCGCCTATTACTACAAGGAACAATATCCAACAGACCAAAAATATGCCACAGGTAAAAGCAGGGAAGAGAAGGACACTGTCTATGCCTGCAGCTTGAACAACAGGGAAAGACTTGGTTAACATGCTCAGAAGATGCTATGAAAAAACCCCATCACCCATGCCACAAAGGAAAGCAAAAATTCCCAAAGTCCATATCAGTCAGACCCAGGAGAAAAATCCTTATCTGAGCACAAATATGATGATGAGTATGACCCTGAGTGGAAGATCAAGATGATCTAGCCAGGAATGCCTGGGTTTTGAAAGTATTACTGCACCCCCAGTCAAAAACTCCCAGGCTTAGCAGTGATCAATGTTCTCATGCCTCAAAGGAAGGAGAAACCCTTTCAAGTCCTACAGAGACCAGAAGTATTTGTAAGAGGGGGAAAATTTCCACCTGATGACCAGCAAAAGACTTAGGCAAGAAATTACCAGATGTCTTCCACACTACAAGAGTTACTTTACTCTCCAACTTGGGGACCACAGATGCATGACTCCACGTCATGCACACTGAATGGTGTAACAGAACTTCTGGTTCCATCATAGCACCTTTTCCATAAATACTCCCCTGATATCTGGGAATTTTCTTTTAATTTCCAATCTAATTTTTTGAGCTGTTTTCCATTAAACAAGAGGTATCTGGCTCAGGGAGGGTGAGGATATCATGATATGTCTGTCCTTTTGTGCAAAAATTCGAGAGATCCTACATACATTTTTGGTTTAACTTCATTATGTGCTGAATCTTGTTTGTCCCACAGAAGCACATGCTCCATTGGAGGACCACATGCATAAAGAGATGCATACCCTAACCTAATGGTCTCTATATACATCTGCTTATTTTCTATCAGAGTCTGTGCCTGGCTGTTACTGTTCTCCTGTTTTAATGTCAGTCCTGTGAGTAATTTAAACATATGTGGCCTTTTGGAAGGGCTTCTGTTGTCTTTTTCTGAATCCATATTATTGTTTTATGTGTAAACTCTTTTGAGGCCAGGATCATTTTTTGTTATGCATTTGTACAATGGCCTGTGACTGTGAATTTTCTAAGCACTACCCTAATAAATAATAGTAATAATTGTAGTATCAGTAGTAGCAGCAGCATTTTTCATACCCAGTGTTTTCTCCCATGTACACTATCATCATCTGCCTAACAAACAACCTGATGTTAATAAGAGGATTTAAATGGATTTAGGTATCTTTGGATAAGATCCAAATAACAGAAGCACCAAATGCAACACAAGTCACAAATTTATTGAGATAAATATTTCAGACAAAAAATGTATATTTCTATATCAGTATGTTATCCTAAAGGAGCGTTTCATATACATGTAATCAGATGTTACAGATTTGAAATCAATCAGTGATAATTACTGTGAGCCATCAAGCTTACAATTCGATTCTTACAGTGAGATTGCTCAAGCTTAAATCAAATATGCAAGTAATAGATCATCAACACAAGAAAAGCTCAAACCTTACAAGCTACACAATAAGGGTTGGGACCCAGGAAACATGTCGCCCATCATGCATTCCATTTAGAATGGCAACATCATCTTCTGCTAATGTAAAATCAAATACCTATGGGAATGCACACAAGGTTAATGCAGTGGACACAGAGAAAAAGCTAGAAACTGTTCTATTGATTAAGCTTATTTACATGTATTTAATTCTGTAGAAAGATTTTCTATGTTTTCTGCCCTACAGACTATCCTTTTTTGTCGTGAAGTAAGAGAATTCTATTAAGCTAGAGCTGGCAGGACCCAGTCCATTTCCTTCTTACTGTGCTTGCTATTTTCATTTATGGGCTCTGCAACACTAGCTCCCAGAACCCTGGCCTAATGCCAGAAAGGTAAGGCAAAAGTCATGACAAAGCTACTTCTGACAGCTCTCCATATCATCCTCAGGAAGGATATAAGAAAAATCTAATTGCTATTCCTTTGAAAGCCAGAGCTCATCACTTCTTTGGTATTTTCAGAAGCTAGGTTTAGAGGTTAACAGCACCTCACCACAGCACTTCAGCCAACCACAAAGAATCACTAAGAAGTCCTCGTACTTTCATGTAGCCAGCAAACCAAAGTCTTTGTGTCAATTCCAAACTATGTATGTCCACTGAGTCTCTTTACAGAAGAGCACCCAGTGTACTCAACTAAAACAGAGTATGAAGGCATTTACTGCAGTCCTTAGCATTCAGTGTAGCCTGAGAGTAGCCACTTATATCCCATGCACTGGTCTTCTACAGCCACAGGGAGGTTGGCTACTCTTACAACTCAGTTGGTGGTAGTGTTCTATTAGCAAAGTGTCTGTGCAGACTTAATTTTTCCTATGTTTGTCAAAGGTACATCTCATGTGGCAGAAAGACCCAGGGGAGCCTGAACTGCTGCCAAGCAAACTTCTCCTCTCCTATACAGTCCAACAATAAATGGCTGCTGGAATGCCCCACTGTAGTCACAGACTCAGCCTTCGGGCTACCTACATTTAAACTGAATACCAACCAGTGGACTTCGACGGTATGTGACTTTTTCAGTACATCCATTGAAAGGAGCATAGAACAGTTATATAGTGGGACCTGGGGCCAAGGTATAGAATAAAAGAAGATACTAAAGAAAGAGAAGAAAAAAAGAAGAGAAATTCTGTTTTTAAGTTTGTTGATAGAATGCTGTTCAGTCAAATATTACCAGAGATACACATAACTAATTCACATACACACAAGGTCACAAAGTGCTTAACTAAAGGGCAGTGGGAGTCCCTTACTCTGGTAAAGTCCATATTGCTTCCTGCTAACCAATCCCTGGTAAAGACATCCTTAGTGGCAGAGATGGAACTTATTCCTGAAAACACACCATGAGCTTTACAAATGCATGGCCTTACATTATTGAAAATTGTTCCTGAGAACGAACATACTCAGAGCGACCAACAACGACTTCAGCCTACAACTCAGCTGAATACTGACATAGGAGAGGAGGAACAACCAGCCAGAAGACACCCTATGGAAAAAGGCACAATGAAGTCACAAGCTGAGATGATGCCATTTCTCTTCCACCTTCCAACTCATCTATCCCTTCTTTCCTAAGACCTCTTCTCTTTCATGTAAATGTGAGGCAGGGAGGTACAGAGGCTTGTTCTGCCAGTTCGCTAACTTCCAGAGGGCTTCCTGTCATTTACAGCCCTTTGCATTCGCTTTGCCCTGGTGTATAGGTAGCTCTCAGTACAGCGCTGAATTCCTTCCATTGTCTTCCTATGCGTCCAGTACAAAAGAACCCTGATGTTGGCTGTGGCCCTTGTGTGCTGTCACAATCCATGTACTAAATAAAAATAATAATGAAAACTAAACACAAAACTTTATGCCTTCAGTAAACTTAATCTCAATAAGTAACATTTTTATACATTTCAATTGGTTTCTTACAGGTCTGGCTATTAAAGGGATTATTTGCTACTGTATTACAAAATTTATTTTGCAATAATTCACCAATTTTAGTGAAGTTGCTCTGACATAAAACTGATGTAAATAAAGTGGAGAGTCAGACCCAAAGTATTTAATCAACAATAATTTGGTCATTAGTCATACAAGATCAGTAACAAGATCTTACCTCACAGTTTTCCTGTATCCTTTCCACTTTTGTAGATTTTGGAATAGTGACAACCCCATTCTGAAAAAGGTAATACTGCTCATCATTAAACATAATAGTAATTTAAAAGGAAACCAGAATGTTTTCCAAACATTTCTTAGAGCAACAATGTAAATAAGATTCCTTCCTCAGCCTTGATTTTACTCTACAAATATCACTTTCATATCTATATACCACTGTTTATAATGATAATTATATAGTGTATAACATTCTAAAATTTTTTTTTAGTTTTCGGTTCAATTTAAAACATTCATTTGTATTCAATGGTCAGTGCTATATGTTGGGAGATAGAAAGCAAGCAATACAACTCACCAGTGGTAGCTTTTAGTTTGCAAATATCTTTTTTATTGGTATTTTACTGTGCTGAAATCAGATTATATCTGTATTAAAAATATTGCCATGATTAGCATATTACATTCCCGTTACCAAATAATGAGAAGTTAGTCCCTGGTGCAGCAGTAGATCAAGTATAACAAGGATAACAGCACATTATTCCTTTACATGTATGCATCACGGTGGCCACCATTGTATTGCTCACCACACTTACCTGTATGCTCCAGCGTATACAGATCTGTGCAGGGGTTTTGCCATACTTCTTTGCCAGCTGAATTACTTTAGGATGAGTAAGAGCTTCACCTTTGGCTAAAGGGCAGTATCCTTCAAAGACAATGTTTCTGCTTCTACAGTAATCCAGCAGCTCCTGGGGTCTTTGGAAAGGGTGATATTCAACCTTTTATGAATGTAGAGGGAAAAAAAACCCTAAGAAAAGCTTTTATGTCAGTGTGTACTTAAAAGAAAATACAGTAAAGATATTTTTGAACTTTGCTTTTTACACTACAATAAAATCAGCAGGAATGAAATAACATTATTTCTGGAAGATTTGTGTATAGCTGTCCATATCTTCAGAAGAAATGGAGAGGGAATTAATGCAGAAACCTCTTGCAGGAACTTAGGCAGCAATTTGCTGCATATGTTAAGGCTCTTTCCCTTGGGAGCAAGCTATATAAAGCAGCTGACCTGCCACTTCTACTGCTGGACTTGCACTTCTGTTCATTAGCACAAAGACCGCAGAATGTTTTTGAGGAGTACAGGTAGTTACTTAGTATAACCCAGCCCCAGACCTCATCATGTGTATTGGTGCCTTAGCCATTCTTGCTTTCCGTTCCTTTCTTCCTTGTTTCCACATTTTTGTGATGCATAGTTGAGGGGAATAAAGACATTTCTGATTAAAATAGAGTACTAGGCCTGTGTATATGACTTCTCTGATCAAAATAGAGTACTAGGCCTGGGCAAAATGCACTGGAATTGACAGTACATGGGAGAACCGTGAATTAGGAGTTAAGGCAGTGTCATAGGGACAGAAAGGAGCAGGTAGCCTGAAGTTATGTGACTATGTATGCTGGATGCCATTGGTGGAAAGAAGGATCACCAAAAAATGATATGGAATGAAAGAGAATGCAGATACTGAGGTATAGTCATACAATGGAAGTGGAAGATGCATGTCATTTGATTGTTTGGAAAATGAATCCTCAAAAGTTTCAAGTTTGGAAAAGCAGCCAAACTTTTTTAGCACTTACCCAAACTTAAACTGTATCTGAACTGTATAAGTTCACCTCCATAAAAAATGGTATCTTGGAACACTGTGCATGTTCTGTACTGTACAATTAAATTTCCCTGTATGCTCAAATCAAAATGACTGTGGAGTTTTCTTTTAAGTAGATACAGTATAATCATGTGACAACTCCAAACCAAATAGCCAGCACCACTGTTTCAATGATCTAACTCTTGCGTATTTTGAGGAAAAAACCTCTTTAGAACAATTACAGCAACACATGGAATCTGGAAAATTTCTTCCACCATAAAAAGGAAAAACGAACATTTCCTGCTTCTCATCTTTAGTACATGTTGTCTTTTCAGACAACAATAGTTGGGAACAATAAGTTGGCATTCATTCAATACATGCTAAGTAAAACTGTACCCCTCGAAGGCTGGGCTGAGTCATCCTAAAACTGCTATGATCTAAATTACTGGGTGGACTGGTGACAAGGTTCAAGCAACAGACACATCCATGTCTTCAACCTTTGATGTTTCTTGACCTTTGAATGGCCTTTGTATTAAATATTTATATTTGTATGGTCAGTGTTTAGGTCACTCATGTATTCATTTACTCGCATCTGAACAGAAAAGGAAATATTTCCATTGTTTGTTGCACAGAACTGTGGGGAAGAAAAAGAATGAGCCAGCAGTTCCTTTCAAAATACTGTTTAACAAAAACCAAAGGGTATCTATGTATTTGCTAAGTATCTGACTATACAACATGACCACTGAACATTTTAGAGACAGGTGCTTGCTTGAAATGTAGATATATTTTTATAATAGATTTTAAAAACTTATTAATGGCTAGGGCATCATGTTAAAATATTCCTAATTTGTGAAATTTGGAACTTGATAAACCTGCAGGAACACTACCTAAATGGTATATTGCTTAATGAGTGCTATAATAAAATGAAAAGAAAATAGGAATTGGATAGTTAGGTAAGAGTCTTACTGGGTAGTTGTAATGAATTAAACATGTAAAAGCAAATCTGAAATAACTCTACTGACTTCAGAAGATTTGTTTCCTATTTATACCAATGTAACTTTAAACAGAATTTAGCTCTTAGTCTTTTAAGGCTGCAGAGTTGCACAGTTCTAAGGTTTTCCAAACATTTTTATATCGAGTCCAACATGCTGTTATGTCACCTTCCAAACTGATATAGAGATAAGGTTGCTTCTGCTCTGGAAATGATAAACATTGGATCCAAAATTTTGCTAAGCTGATTTCTGGGAATTCCTGTGATACTCTGCTGTGAGGCAGACAAGAGCAGGTAACTTCTTTGTAAAATATTTTTTAAGAAATCAGTACTTTTTTTTCAAACATTCATGGAAAATTTTTGGTACTTTGGAAGGTGAGGCCACAACAGTACTAGCTAGAGGGACACAGGCTGCATGACCAATATGTAACCTTCCCTTCTACTAACAACACCTACTTCCTGATCTGTACCACCCATGCTATTTTAGTGCAGATTCTTTTCAGGCAAAGATTATCAATCATATGTTGATGAAGTAAGGTCCACTATTCTCCGAGTCCTTGGATTGTTTTGTGTATATCTGGCAGGGTTTTTATCAAGGCGTTTGCAGTTGTATGGAATCCCACTGACCCCTTCGCAATTGCTATTAGTCAGCCACATGGGAAACCAAAGTCAGCAAGGCTTTTTGTAAGCCATGGAAAGAAGACACTGCAGCCAATAGACAAGTGCCCCCCACTGGTCTACAGTGTCTTCCACCTGTCTAAACCAGATAAACAGTTGGCAGGAAAGTCTTACCCCTCTTCACTCCACTCCAGGGGCCACAGAAGTTTCAACATTTGAGGGCAAACTTAGTTTTCTTAGTTCCTGTGGCATTCTTCTGTGAATTTTCCAGAGTGGGCAATCTTGACCATTATGTTCCTATTTAAAATTTGATTTTGGGCCAGGAGGTTGAGTTTCTGTTACAGTTGAGACCACACTATATAGGAAGTAATAATTTCCTAATGTGCTAAACTTGTGTGAAGTAGGGTGTAAAACTCAATACTAATGAAAACATGAACATTCATTAAACTGTTTTCTCTATTCTTAGACTGATACAAACTTGTCGTGTCCACTTTGTATTTTAAGAAATACTAATAGATATAGGTCTAATATGTAGCATTTAGAGCATAATAATTTATACCTGTTTCTAGCCGCTCACTTAATTACAGTGTTCAGGTTAATTAAACAAACTCCTGGGAAATTTCTGCTTTCTCTTATTAAAGGACAGGAACAAGAAGCCACAAAGAGAGTACATCTCTCCCTCTCCCATAAATCTGTACTTATCACTTCTATGTCCCAACTGTAGACTCTACAGTTTTATAGCTTCTGGTTCATTGTAATGTTCTCTTTGATTAATTTATGTGGTATCAGAATTAAACATTTGAACATTGATGCTTATTATTTTAGGTTCTGTATAGAGAATCTGACAGGAGATTTTAAGCATGAATTGTTGGTGGAGCTGCTATAGACTGCAATCTTCCCAGCTAAAAGCAAATATCTAAGAGGAGGGTTTTCTCAAAGATCCAGTTTTGTTTTTTTTTTGTTAAGGAATGTGAACATATTCTTTCCTCTATGGGTACTGCTGGAGCAAAAACGTCTCTGAGCTTATGTGCTTTTGACACATGCATCTCTACTGGAATGTGCCATGTGAGATATACATCCGCAGGAGAAACTTCAGTTATACAATTCTACAAAAAAGTCTAAGATTTTTCTTGTTGAAAACTGTTTCCTTTTACAACCATTCTGAAGTGTTTCTAGAACTTTAAGGAAAACATGTATAGTTGGGGAACATTTTGCACAAAGCCTTTGCTTAGTTCCTGTTAAAAAAACTGCATAAATTCTTTGAGATGTCTATTTGTAAAACTTTTGTATTTAAATACAAGCTAATATAAGTAGTAAAGATAATTTATACATAAATTTAGCAATGTCATTCAGTATTTCACTGGTTATTAAAGTAAGCAATCATTTAAATACAGAATGTTTATGTTAATTTGTGGACTTTATTAGTTACCTAGCAGTGCTTAAACAACTTCCTAATCATTCTCAGAAAGACAAGGGTCAATTCCCTCATGATGACTTATGAATCAATGCCTTCTTTAAGGGCAGAGCTAATCACTCTCTTTGAAAATCATATCAATTTAAACAGAATACATGTTAAAGCTAAATTATTTTTGTATAAAATGTAAGCATCTCTGAACCACAATTTCATTTTCTATTCATTCCTAATAGAATTAAAGAAAATGGATTGAGGATAAGAGATTCAAACTCTAAACTCAAAAAATATTCTGAGATCTTGGTCCCCAAGCACAGACAGTTACTATCCTGTTGTCATGTGACCTAAGGATGTAACCAGGACCATACATGGCATTGAGTGAATTAAACAGTGACAGCAGCTAATATTTAAATAAGCTCTATGCTATTTAGACAAGCTTTAAAAGAGGTGTGCCTTGTATCTCCAGTGAAACACTGAAAGCAGATTAAGTATAAAACTCTCTGACTGAAGCTAGCAGCACACACTGCTACTTTCTCTCAGTTTCAATGGCTTCCTTGTGTCAATATTTTTCTCTCATTTTTTGCAAGCAAGCAAGCAGCAGCAAGAAGCACCCCCACAAAAGATGTCACTATACGGAAACAAGAAGCATCAATCTTTTTGCACAGCACCGCTTCTGGCACAAAATTACATCAGCACAACTTTGACATCAAGAGTAAGGGAGATTTTGCCACAGCACTGCCAAAGAATTATAATTAGTTTTGTAATGATTTTTAATGGGATATTGAAACAATACTGTACTTTAAGATAGTAGCAGCTTATCTTGCTAAATGCTAAAAGGGTTTAGGCCACATATTCTTGGAGAGGAGTCATATGCTAACACAAAAGTGTGTTATCTATAATACACTAAATGGAACTCACCTACTTAAAACAAATTTCTTTGCCCACTTATTATGTTGTCATTATCTATAATACACTAAATAGGACTCATTATTAATATTTAAAATAACATGCTTTGCTCTTGACATATAGGGAAGTGTGTGCCCAGCTTCAGGAGAGCCTGGACCACTCTCAAAAGAATAATCTCTGTGAAAAGTTCTTCTCAGAGACACATATGCGAGTTTATAATTACAAACCTAATGGTTTATTGCTTATGTTTTCTTTTTCTTATTTTCATAAAGTAGAGTAGTCAGAGTTAATAGTATTTAATTATGGTAGCTCTTAGGGCATGGCAAATATCCTCAAGTGAAGATAGTAGTGGGAGACTTAAAGCCCTAAAAACAGGAACAACTATGATGTGGCCTGCCATTTCTACTTTCTCCAGTCTGAACATTTTATCACTTTTTAAAGAAAATTATTTGGTTCTTAACTATTTAAAACACTTTCTTCTCTCCCACATCATCATCTTTAACTGTATCTTTAAAGCATACATTTTCTTTTCTGGTTTCATTTAGGACCTATGGTCATATTTAAAATATTTGTGCAGGTTTGAAAGTCTTCATCTGTGTTAGATATTTCCTGGCCATATAAGACCAGTTTCTGTCACACTTACTCAGATGTACAAGCAGTCCATTTAAGCGAATTATATCACATATGAAATAAGGATGGAACCAAGATAGCAGACTCTAACCTATAATACAAAATGCAAGTAGAAACAGTAAAGTTTCAAACCACAGAAACTTTAAATGTGACAACTTCACGCTTTGGCTCGTTTTTCAGTGCTGGCTAAGGAAACAACATTTTAAAATGTAGTTCTTAAATACTGAAGGCCCTGAAGAAGCTCATTCACTATGGTAGTGCCAAGGCTCAGTGGTAAGCTGCCATCAACTAAAATTGGGCTTGTGGCCTTCTAGCAACAGGATATTGGCCACAAAATGTCTGGTAAGCAGACAACTGGCCTCACAGGGACCTTTTTAAAAAATAATCGACTGAATTTTCTTGGCCTAACTCAAGGTGTTTTTCAGAGATGAAGTGGAGAAGATGGGGTTATTCTAAAAAGAAGTGTCTTAAATGTACTGTGTAAGCACTCACCTGATTAACATGAGGGGTTACTTCACAGTCTTCTTTTAGTTGTTCAAGATGATTTATGAGAAAGTTGCTTACGCCAATTGACCGACACATCCCTAATTAAAGGAGGGGGAAAAGTACATATGACATTCTAGGAGAGAAGAAAGTGCTGAGAATTCTAACTATTTTGGGGAATGACCTGAAAATATCACTTGTGAGTGGACAAAATGATGGCAAACACTTTATTTCTGCATAATAAACTACTGCAGATATTTACAGGAACACAAATACTGAAATCTAACTTGACAGCATTATCTGCAAGCATGGTTCTGTCAGAGTCACATAAGGAAGCCGTTTTATAATCTAAACACATTGGAGGCTCCCCAGTGTATAAAAACTCCAGGCTAAATTCTGGGAAAGGCCAACATCGTATAAGCAAAGAACAATTGTACTTCATCAGAATGAAAAGAAGGAAATGGTGTTCGGAGCAGCTTGCCAAAAGCAAAGAAAAGTGGAACATTTGCAAAAGACTAGTTGGGTATGAGTAATAAAACACGAGGACGCACCATCCTAACAAACTGCCCCCTACTGACATTTAAGATAGATTATTTTACTATGAACAAGATGTTATGTAAACTTCAATATAAAAAGTATACGTAATTCAATGCTTCCCAAAAGTCAGAAAAATCAAAGCATAGGATGGAGTTTCTTTCTTAACATTGATTTTCTTCACTTTGGTTAATGCACAGATCATCAAAAATTTACCATTTTGCCTATGTTTAGTTTAATGCATTTGTAAAGAATAAATAATGAATGTGTGAACATGAGTAAATTAAGTGCTGACTGACAGCCCAGGAGTCAGACATGCTCTTTTTAATCACAGAAATGAGACAGCCTGCTTCCTGACCCTGCTCTGCCCACCTCTGCCTCAACCCTGAGGTAGGCAATTCAGAGAGCTGGTGCCTCTGTTGACACTGTTAGTAAAAGATGCCAGTTGTGATAGGTATGGTGTGAAAACCACCAGGCTCATTTCAAACAGGTCACCAAATGGCTATCAGGCAGAGGTTAATATTCTGTTATTCAAGTGCAGCTAACTTGACCATCCAGGAGAAAAGCTCTGTCTCTTTTACCAGTCTCTTGAACTACCCAGATCTTTAATATATGTATTTCTCTTTAGGAACTTTGGGATCCATTAATTGATTTATTAGATGTATTTATTTACTGATTTTAACTAAAGGAAAAGAAAATAACCAGCTCAGAAGGTTAAAAAAGAAATTATATTAAAAACATGGAAACAATGACTTTTCCCAAAGTGATCCAATTCTACTTATAAAAACAGAATTGGGGAAGGATGGGAGATCCACCAAGCTTATGTCAATGGTGACTAAAAACCAATACTATCTGCCAGCTCTTGAAGTGAATTGCAGTCTTAGTTCATTTTTTGTGGGTCAGGATAGCATATTCACTGGCAGCTAAGCAGAAGATCTAAGGATTGAATGAGCAGAGATGGTGAATTCTCCTTTCTCTTCCAAGTCAGGAAGATTGCCAGGGTAACCTGGGGACACTCAGATGGCCACTATGCTGAATGAGCCTGCCCTATGAATGAAGAAAGCACTCCAGTTATTGCTAGAACACCCTCCTGAGCACTACCTTCTTTTTTGTAAACAAGAGAAAGACAGAACATAAACTAAAAGCTATTTTGGTTCTTCCAGAAATACTTAATCAGGCAATTCCAGACAACTGGCATTATGGGAATAATTTAGGGCCTGATTTTGCAGCCAATCCATGCATGGAGTTACCGTTGCGTCAACTTCAGTGGCAGGTCTGCATGTGGATCAGCCATGTAATCAAGCCCTGAGAGGTGTATTTCCACTCAGTGCAGATATATAGTTGCCATTAATGCAAATAGGATTCATGGATGCATTAAGGGAATTATTTACCTTGATTCAGACTAAAAATAAAAGTACAGGAAATGCATGAGGAAAATTTACTATGTAAATATCTCATTAAAAACACACATACTTTAAATATGAAAGAGACTTAATCCACTTGCAGAATGTTAACTAGCATTCTTTAATGTGACTGGTTTTGAATAATCATGAATAATTCAGAATTAGCATATTCATTTCTTAACTTGTTAAAGTAACTCTAATTACATACAGTACTTTTCTCCAGAAATTTTATAGATGAGGCTACATTCTGGTGCTAGATATTATAAACAAGTTGCAAACATCACATAAAGTGTAAAGTGGGCTTTGCATTTGGCAAAGTTGATAATAATAACCACAAAAACAATTCTACTATGATGTTGCTCTTACGTCTTTAGCCAAGACATGTAGACACATATACAGCAGGAAAACCCTTGTAATATGCTATTATTTTTCTACTGTGATTTCTACTGCAAAATTTTATAGTGGGCAAAAAGCCTTTAACAACTTGGCTGCTAAACTGCTCACATTTACAGAAATTATCATCCGCGCAAGACATGTAGCATTAATTAGGTTTTGACCCATACCATAGCAGTTTGCATAATTTGTATTTAATCTGCCAGAAGGGGGTCAAACCTTAGCTTTAGACCTCTGGTGACACAAATCCTGCAGCACCAACACTAATAAATCATTATGCTACAGAAGTCTGAAAAGTATTTGCAATTTTAACACAAAAGACATCAAAATATTATCCAGTACTGTGAGGAAATGATTTTAAAATGTTCCTTTTGTTGTTTCTCTTGGAGAATGAAAGCCTTTATCTGAAGCAACAACACAATAAAACTCAGCATCAGATATCACAGAAGGAAAAAATCTCATTAGATGTTCTAGTTCATTCCCACAACCAGCTCCCAGGATTTTTTTTACAGTATATTTTCAATTGTTTTGTCCCATCTTGTTTCTTATACTTCAGTTGATTAGAAGTCTACAACTTCCCTTCCACAGAACTCATCAATTTAATTGCCAGGAAATTCTTCGTAGGTCTCCAATCAAGAATCTTCGTTTAAGTGTTGTCTTAAGTTATGCTTTGGGCTACCCTTCCCTCAAAAGTCAATAAAGTTGCACAAATGTATTTTAAAGTAGTAATTTAGCCTGTACTGCAAAATACTTCAAAGTGGGCAAGAAGGGTAGAAATTTTTTTTTTTACTTAAGTATAACATCAGAAAATGCTTAAGCAATGACATCCAATAGCTCTATGGTGACTTTGAAAAGATTTTTTGGTTAAATGATTCATAAAGCTCCTTTCTGATAATCAATATATTAGCTAGAGCATTTGATTTAAACTTTATTATATAATAACCTAGAAGTCAAATCAATCTAACATAAAAGTTAACATGCTTTGACTTTTATATTGTAAGTTTTAACATACTGTAAATAACAGAACAATAAAATATAAATTACACTTTCTGGCCCTTTCAAAACCATATTCCAACTGCATTAAAGTGAAACATTTCAATACGGTAATTTCAATATTTCTGTAAAAAAGTATTTCTGAATTCTCATATTGTAGTAAATTAAAAGTTCTGACTTTTCATTACGATTTGAAACATAAACAAATACTGACATCTCCCATGTTTCAACCAGCTCTCATTGGAGTCTGTTTTAGGGAAGGCAGGAGTTGCCTCCAATCAACCAATTAAGTTCCATAGCTATCACCAGCAATATTCAAAATCCTGCAAAGATGTGATGTCTTAAGGAAATTACAGTAGTTATATCTCTATGTCTTTGTCCAAGAGTAAAGAGTCAAACAGGAAATTATGAAACAGGAAATAAAGAGTGGGTAATTCCCTTTGGTAATGTCCCACTAGCAGTTGAGGGAGTTAACTAACTCCATCCACTGTGCTTCACTCAAAAGTGTTAACAATTGTTTTTCCTTTTTAATGGCCTTAATATTCCACTAATAGAGGTAATCTTTCTTTTGGCAACTTTTAGCTACTCCTGGTCTCTGTTCTCCCATTTCACAGCCTTGGAGAATGTTTTTAGCTGTTTACAATATCACAGATCCACCCATGGAGACTAGTCTTCAGTAGCAGCTAGGATTACAGCTGTTGATTGAACATTAAAGTGAGGGAGAGTGAGCTATCCCTGCTTTATGCAGTGATAACTCTGGAAAAATGTCTTCATTCTGCAATCCCGAAAACAAGGTGCATATCTTATTTGGGGGGGGTGTGGCATGTGAAAAAATATGGTATATCAAGGAAGGTGCCAAGGTACAATCTGAATACCCAAAACATACTTTATAATACCAGGAAACATCTGCTATATTTGATAACTATTAGTTCTTTCAATTTTTCAAAATATATGGAGTCAGATTATAAGCTTCACTTCCAGCTTCTACCCTCTGCTAAAATGTCACAACACAACTAGAAAACTACCCTTAACAAACAGCAGGAGACCCTTTTGGCATAAGGCAATATCCAGATGGCACAGCCATCGCTACACCATGCTATCCTGACATAGGGAGAATGTCATGGTAGGGCCTGGGGCAGGAGTACTGCAGGGTGAGGTACAATGTATACTTTTATGTATAGTCAACCTTTGCTGGTGTCATCATTAGAGGCCAGCATAAATTAGTTTTAAATTACCGATTACTGTACCTTGGATTACAGGCCCATCTGGCCCTTGGCTACAACTGAATTGGTGGAGACAGGCAAGTGGTGTAGCTAAAGGAAATTGAGGATTGAAGCCATATTAAAAAAAACCCAAACAAACAAACCATTAAATAAACTTATTTCCCTATAATTAGAGATCATTAAGGTTTAAACATTAATTATAGTAAATTTACTTATGTAAATATCCATATTTAATCTCTTATCTATTTAAAAATCTGATGATTTTTTGAAAATAAAAATACCCTTCCATGCTTTCTCTTCTATAAAAGATAACAAATGCCAAGAATCCAACATTCACAAACACCATATACAGTAACAGAACAGTGTGTGCTTTGATTTGAGGGGGCACTATTGTCAAGAAAAAATTCCCCCTACAAGCTTCCAAAGGCTGCTCTTCAAACAAAACAACCCCCCCCAAACTCTAACCCAGCAAAGCTTTCTAATGTAAACCACTATGTAATATGTTCTCAGGCCTTATCTAGACTAGGAAAAAAGCTAATTATTTTTTTCAATTTA